GGAGACAACTCATCACATCCTATGGTCCAGTTTGATGCTGTTTGGACTCCATTTCCCTAATTTCCTTCTGATCCTCAAAATTGATGTTGTGTTGCGTCAGTGTGTGTCAGTTTGGATGTGTGCGGGAAAATTTAAAGGACTGCGCACTTTTTTTAAACTCCACTTCCACATCTGTAAGAAAACTTCCAGCATCAAAGGGTTCAAAAGACATTTTGTCTTGGCCTATCAGGTGATGTTTTGCCGTTCTTGTATCTGAGAAGGTCGATGAAATCTGATGAGATTTTTCGGCAAGTTTGACTTTCCACGGTCTTGTGTCATTTTCGAAGGAGGTTAAATTAAAGTGAATTATAATTTAGGAAATCCATGTTCCTTCACTATCATCGATTAAAAACAATTCTGTTTGCAATAAATTGCTGATTTTTTTTTTCTTGTTAAGTATAAAAACCTGGCGAGTGTTTTCTTCTAGCCTCAGTTTACCAGACAGACAAATTGGGGAAAAAACCAGAAATTGCTGGAAAAGCTCAGCAGGTCTGAACTGAGGAAGGGTAACTGGAACCAAAATGTTAACTCTGATTTTTTATCCACAGATGCTGCCAGACATTTTCTGTTTTTGTTTCTGATTTACAGCATCCACAGTACTTTCAATTTTTAGATAAACTGGGGACACTGGATTGATTGACTTAAATTTTTTTCACAACGGTGATGGTTCCAGGAATAGTTGGGACTTGATTTCCAGTGCACTACCCTCAGTGAATTGTGATGGTCCACATTTCTTTCTTTTCATAGACTGGTAAAGATAATTGCAACTCTAAATGTAACTCTTCTGTTTCTTTGAAATTCAGAATATTAACTGAAACACTCTGTTCCACTTTGAATCCTCATTGTATTGAATTCAATACTCAGTGCATCATTTCCTAGTCAAGGTCACCCAGATCTTAACCCTGTAGAGGCTGTTACTGCTCTAAGTTTACAAAAACTTAACCCATTGCGTCACTTTACTGTTTCGTGTGTTTGATTCTCTTCCATCTTTTCAAACTTTGGGATCCTACTCTACGGATCTTGGTCTTGCACTTTGATTTACCGCTTTCGAAACAAAATATAATTCTGCTGATATAAACAGAAAATGGTCAAACTATTCAGCAGGTCTGCCTGTATCTATGGCGAAGAAAACAGTGTTATGTTTCGGGGTGGTGTGTCTCATCAGCAGTAGGAAGATTAGAAATGTATTAGATTTAAGGGGGAGATTGGAAAAAAGAACAAAAGGGAAGGTATGTGACATATTTCTTTGTTATAAAGGATTTCACTGATCGTTGAAACACTGATAATTGAAAATAACTTTTACAGTAAAAAAAGATAATTGTGATACATTTGGACATTTTTTGACTTTAATTAACAATCATTAAAGAAAAGCTCTGAAAAGTAAGAAGATCGAAGTCAAAAATCTTCAGAAACAACTAAGCTTTTAGGAAAAAAGTTTAATTAGCAATTCATCTCCGATATCCTTCCTGAAGAGGATTCAACATTTTAAAGAATGAAAGTAATTGCTGAGAGCCATGATTGTATTTAATGGCGGAGCAGGCTTGAGAGGTTTAACTACCTGCTCCTGTTCCTGATTCTTATCTAATTTAAAGCACTGAACTACTTGATCCTGAAAAAAAATAGGGAATTCCTGTAACAGCTTTCAAGTAGATCCTTCAAGTAAGAAAGATGACACAAGTTAAATAAGCAACACTGGAGAAAGACATTACACCTCCAAGCAGGTTTAAAATCATAGATCCTTCAGATGGTGAATTGAATTGGTCTATATAGAGCAGACAATTCATACAATATAGAAAAGATTCAAGATGACAAAAAAAAAGTACAAGTAACTGTTTCTTTACCTTGTGTGTTAGGTTGGAGATCATGTTTTAAAATGACATAACAAGCACTTTTAATACTGTTGTAAGAGTATTTGACAATTACTTTACATCAAGTACCAATTGTAATATGAGGAGAGCAGGATTTAATGGAAACATACAACTTTCTGGAGAACATATTGAAAACTTTATTAATTATTTTTGCGCATTGTCAGACTGTTGTGACCATGTCATTTCACATTTGGATCTGACTTGAGACAGAATTGGTGTTCGAATTTCTGATCTATTTATTTCTACATAAGTTACAATCAAAGTAAGATGTCAGATTGGAATGAGCTATTCAGATAGCGGTGAAATCTGAAATCAGAAATTCTAAAATAGCACAAGAGTGTGATGGGAACAGAAAGTTATACTTACTAAAGAAGTTTATCAGACTTCAGCAACTTTCTAAGATACAAGAATAGCAAAGCATCACAGGATAGACCAGGACACAACGTCTTTTTAACCCTTTGATGTTCAACGTTGTCTTGTAAATGTGGAGTTAAAAAATTGTGCACAAACAGAAATAATGTTCACCTTCATCATGCTAATAGAACTTCTGTTAGGAAGTGGGGTACTTCCAAAACAAAAGCTATACAAGTGTCAAAAACAATCATTGAACCATTGAATCAATCATGCCAATGTGCCGAAAGGAGTTAATGCTTTAAAGCAAGTATCTTGGAAAAAAGCCCAAGATTTAACTTCATTAGATTACGTAATTTGGTGATATACTTTGAAACATTGGAACATATGAACGAAACTTTCGTAAAAGTTGTTGATGATTAATCTACATGAGATGAGACAGAGATCATGCAGGTTAGTGGTCATCCAACTAATTTCAAGTTTAGTACTTAAGCAAGTGTTAATAGTTAATCTGAAAAATTCGTCTGTTCAGGAGAATGAAACTGCAACTTTCAGACAGAAAAATGTCTGTTACAGGCAGAACACTGTTGAAAAGGAAAGGAATGCTAAAAGACCTTTCAAAATAAAGGGAACGGAACTATATTATCAGAAAGTAAAACTTCTCACTTGTCAGCAGAAACACGTTGCACTCTGCAAATTCTACAGTATCTTGACGAACCGCAGTCAGCACAGTAGCCAAATACTAGTGATCACCGTAATTTTAATCCGGAAGAGAGTTACTTCAAAGCTCTCTGAAAATTTGTTTGCCGAACCAAAGAGAAAAAAATACACCATTTACACTTGTTTATGTTGGTGTCCAACAGCTCTTTACCAGTGAGAAACCAGAAGACACTACTAATCTAACAGGTTTGAAGGTATTATTCAATTCTTTCAAACTCTTCAAAACCGATCATCAGATATCCTTGCCACTACACCCACCAGGAGTTAGTAATAGACTCCTGTTGCAGCTAATTTAGCAGTTTGGTAGGAACATGACCAGAACAGCAACAGTATGGTTGATGATTGAATATGATAAAATGATAATCTTATCCAAAAAAGTACAAGCATGAATGGAAGGAGCACATACAAGGGTACTTTGTCACAATATCAAAAGGCAAAGCTTAATTGTCTTATAAATAATATGTTCTCTTGCAGAAATAGAGGAAACTAATGTTGCTCCAAGGGAAACAATCCATTCATATCAGAGGATGTTGTCAGCCAAAAGCATGTGGGCAATCAAAAGTCCACCAAGATTTCAGAATGGCAATGAACTGTACCTATACATTTTGTTTGCAAGCAGTAGACTTCTGCCCTAACAAAGTCTGAGAGACTTTGGAATGTGGGTGTAGGGATGTGTGGGAGATGGGGCAGTAAATCCACTTTACTTATTTGAAACAATATAAAGAATTTAAGAGTCAGGAAAAAAAAGAGCCTGGGGGGAGATTGCCTATAAAGCAGTTATTACCTGAAATTTAACTGATATCGTGAGAATGGTCCCATCCATTTGTTCTGCTGCTGTTCTGTGTTGTTAACAATGCTGAATGAGAATGTTTCAGTAGTAGTAATGGGAACTTGCTCTTGAGTTGAGCCTGATACCTCATAAGAGACCATCATGTAAAACAGATGGACTGCCACTCATTACTAAGTAAAATAAAACAGACCTTTTTACTGATTGTCAAGATTTTGCTGTCTTCTGTCTAAGATTCATGGGGGCATCCTTTCCCACTTGCTCTCAGTAGCTTAGATTAACACCACAAAAAGGAATGGTGGCAGCGAAACTACACAAGACATCCCAGGTAGTTCAAAAAGGTGACCATGTATGAAGGTGGAGAATTAAAATGACAGATGGTCAGAAACTTAGTGTCATGTTTGCAGACTGAATGATGAAGTCCCACAAAGCACACTTGATTTCCCCAATGGAGAGCAGATCACATTTTGGGCAACAAATGCATTGTGATAAATTGAAAGAAGACAATCCCATGGATACCAACCTCAGCTGGAACTTGCATTTAGGCTCTTCTTAGTTGTTGATTTGTCAATGAGTTGAGTCTTTAGGTTTACAATAAAAACAAGGTACATTGAGCTAAAGGGTAGAGGGAAAATACCTTAATATTCCAACCACACCTGCACCATTCACCTGATTGGGTTTAACATGCTATTGGCAGAAGGTACGGAAGTTCAAAACTAGAGGCATAATTTTAGGGTGAGTGGGGAAAGATTTAAGAAGGATCTGAAGGGCAACTTTTTCACAAAGAGGGTGGTGCGTATGTGGAATGAGCTGCCATAGGAAGTGGTAGATGCAGGTACAGTTACAATGTTTAAAAGACATTTGTGCAGGTACATGAATAGGAAAGGTTTAGAGGGATATGGGTCAAACACAAGCAAATGAAGCTAGTTTAGCCTGGGAAACTTGTTTGGCATGGACATGTTGGACTGAAGCTTCTGTTTATGTGTTGTGTGACTCTATGAATCTATGAATAAGTTCATTGCAACATCAGATCCTTGAGCTAGAGTTCCACTGAGACGAGTGAGCAGCCAATAATTAATACAAAAATATCTGTCTGTTAAAGTAAACATTATTGCACATAAAGATTGCCAAATCTTTGTCTTTTTGATAATTAGATCTTATTAAACAGCAGTTCTGATAGAAAAAAAACATGTTTGAGACCCTATCAATAAACAAAACCTTTCTCTTTGTTCTAGACTGTATGAAGAAAAGGAACAGGTTGAGTTCGAAGAATCACTGAAAAGACTATTTGAGTCCATCAATAACCTGATGAAGAGTCAGCAAGTGACTACAATCCTGTTGCAGGTCAGTTAGCTAATGTGCAAATGAAATTGGAAGTGTTGCATGTGTTGGTGGAAGTGAGTGCAAACAGTAGAAGTTAGGCTACCTTTGTGATGGGAAGAATAAAAGATGCATGCAATAAAGTCCCACTATTTGCATTCCTGGTTACTTGCCAGGTTAAATTCCTGTAAATGGTTGTAAATGGCGAACGTATTTTATAATAGTGGTCAATTAGATAGGTTCTAACCGTCCAATATCCAAAAGTGATAAATAGAGTATTAAAAGGTACAACACATAAAAACAAGTTTTTTAAGACAAGTAAAGATGTTTGATTGGAAAGGTTGTTTAATAAAGTAAGTATATAACCTTTGCCACACTTACTCCTATTATAATGGTCTCCGGCAGAGTGTGACAATTGCAACATTAAAGAATATCCACATGGAAACACAACAGGAAGCAAGACGACAAATGGTGCAAGTGCGGTGCACACTTTTCAATACAGGAAATACATGCCAGTACGCACAGACACCTACCACATCTTACACTTCAAACATTCATTTCAGTCCTTTATAATTTTTCTTCATTGCCTCCAAGTTTTCATTTTCTTTTCCCCACAAAAAACCATGGATAAGTAAACATCAAACACACATTGAGGAAAAGAGCATAAGTAATGTGTTGCAAGGATAAATGGATTTACGAGTCTTAGTATGAGGGGAGATTGACTATGTTGGGATTGTTTTCACTGGAGTTCAGATGAATGAGGGGGCATCTCATAGAGACTTATAAAATTCGAACAGGACTGGACAGGGTAGCTGCAGGGAGGATGTTCCCAAAGCTGGGGTGTATCCACAACCAGGGGTCACAGTATGACGATTTGGAGTAGACCATTTAGGATGAGATGAGGAGACATTTCTTCACCCAAAGAGTGGCAAGCCTGTGGAATTCATTACCACAGGAAGTAGTTGATGCCAAAACATTGAATGTATTCAAGAGGTGACTAGATATAGCATTTGGGGCAAATGGGATCAAAGGTTATGGGGAGAAAACAGAATTAGGCTATTGAGTTGGATGATCAGCCATGATCGTGAAGAATGATGGAGCAGGCTTGAAGGGCCGAATGGCCTCCTCCTGATCCTATTTTCTATGTTTCTATGACTAGATGGACTTTACTGAATGTATGTCCATACCAGTGATCATAAAATTACAGAAACAGCACAGAAGGAGACCATACAGCCTATAATGCCTGCACCAAAACTTGTAAAGAGCTGACCAGTTAATTCCACTTGCTTGATTTAGTTCATAATGCTGTAGATTTTTCTTTTTCAAAAACATATCAAAATCCCATTTTGAAAATTACCATTGAATCTACTTCCATCCCTACTCCTTCAGTATGGAATGTCTTTCGGCATAATGCAAAGTCTTTTCTGTTCTTCCACTAGTGCACTGTAGCTGATGGTTGGCAACTTCTGAACTTTTTCACAGGTTGAAAGCTTTCTTGAGAGATGTGTTCTCATGGCAAAATCCCTTCCAGCTAAGATGGCCCTATGTTTGAGGAGATTGTTTTTTCAAATTTACAAACATTCAGGATTTAGCTAGATGCGTCAATGCCATCACATATCAATCAATTGTCTCCCTTTCCTCCAAATTTTGATGTTAAACACGTACCATTCATAAGTAACATTAATATGGGGTTGAAAGAATGTCTTTAGAGTCTTTAAAATATCTCCTGTGTAGGTTTGCAGCTCCTAAGTGTGATTTAGGGTACAATTAGCCCCAGCATTGATAACAGGGTAATAAGTCTTATTTTTTCAGTTTTTTTATTTAAATCTGCAAATATTTCATAGTTTAACCACTGAGAATAGAAAATTATTTTTAAGTTCTGTCTCCCATTTCCTTTCATGTCCGGAGAGCAAGGAGTGGAAAACTCACAGCTGTTGTGACTCATCCAGTATTTCAAAGTTGCAGACTCCAATTTTAGATATAGTAGGAACTGCAGATGCTGGAGAATCCGAGACAACAAGGTGCAGGGCTGGATGAACACAGCAGGCCAAGCAGCATCATAGGAGCAGAGAGGCTGACGTTTCGGGCCTAGACCCTTCATCAGAAAAGAGGGAGGGGAAGGGGGTTTTGAAATAAATAGGGAGAGAGTGGGAGGCGGATAGAAGAGGGATAGAGGAGAGGATAGGTGGAGAGGAAACAAACAGGTCGAAGAGGCGGGGATGGAGCCAGTAAAGGTGAGTGTAGGTAGGGAGTTAGGAAGGGGATAGGTCAGTCCAGGGAGGACGGACAGGTCAAGGGGGCGGGATGAGGTTGGTCGGTAGGAGATGGAGGTGCGGCTTGAGGTGGGAGGAGGGGATAGGTGGGAGGAAGAACAGGTTAGGGAGGCAGGGACGAGCTGGACTGGTTTTGGGATGCGGTAGGGGGAGGGGAGATTTTGAAACTTGTGAAATCCACATTGATACCATTGGGCTGCAGGGTTCCCAAGCGGAATATGAGTTGCTGTTCCTGCAACCTTCGGGTGGCATCGTTGTGGCACTGCAGGAGGCCCAGGATGGACATGTCGTCTGAGGAATGGGAGGGGGAGTTGAAATGGTTCGCGACTGGGAGGTGCAGTTGTTTGTTGCGAACCGAGCGTAGGTGTTCTGCAAAGTGGTCCCCGAGTCTCCGCTTGGTTTCCCCGATGTAGAGGAAGCCACACCGGGTACAGCGGATGCAGTATACGACATTGGCAGATGTGCAGGTGAACATCTGCTTGATGTGGAAAGTCTTCTTGGGGCCTGGGATGGGGGTGAGGGAGGAGGTATGGGGGCAGGTGTAGCACTTCCTGCGGTTGCAGGGAAAAGTGCCGGGTGTGGTGGAGCTGGAGGGGAGTGTGGAGCGGACAAGGGAGTCACGGAGAGAGTTGTCCCTCCGGAAAGCAGATAAGGGTGGGGAGGGAAAGATGTCTTTGGTGGTGGGGTCGGATTGCAGATGGCGGAAGTGTCGGAGGATGATGCGTTGGATCCGGAGGTTGGTGGGGTGGTACGTGAGGACGAGGGGGATTCTTTTTTGGTTTTTATTGCGTGGACGGGGTGTGAGGGATGAGGTGCGGGAGATGTGGGAGACACGGTTGAGGGCGTTCTCGACCACCGAGGAGGGGAAGTTACGGTCCTTGAAAAACGAGGACAACTGAGATGTGCGGGAGTGGAATGCCTCATCCTGGGAGCAGATGCGGCGGAGGCGAAGGAATTGGGAATAGGGGATAGCATTTTTGCAGGAAGGTGGGTGGGAGGAGGAGTATTCTAGGTAGCTGTGGGAGTCGGTGGGCTTGAAATGAATATCGGTTTCTCGGTGGTTGCCCGATATGGAGACAGAGAGGTCCAGGAAGGGGAGAGAGGTGTTAGAGATGGTCCAGGTAAACTTAAGGTTGGGGTGGAAGGTGTTAGTGAAGTGTATGAACTGTTCGAGCTCCTCGTGGGAGCACGAGGCGGCACCGATACAGTCATCAATGTAACGGAGGAAGAGGTGGGGTTTAGGGCCGGTGTAGGTACGGAAGAGGGATTGTTCCACGTAACCTACAAAGAGGCAGGCGTAGCTTGGGCCCATGCGGGTACCCATGGCTACCCCCTTTGTCTGTAGGAAGTGGGAGGAATTGAAAGAGAAGTTGTTGAGTGTGAGGACGAGTTCGGCTAAGCGGATGAGGGTGTCAGTGGAGGGGGACTGGTCGGGCCTGCGGGACAGGAAGAAGCGGAGGGCCTTAAGGCCATCTGCATGGGGAATGCAGGTGCAGAGGGACTGGACGTCCATGGTAAAGATGAGGTGTTGGGGACCGGGGAATTGGAAGTTCTGGAGGAGGTGGAGGGCGTGGGTGGTGTCACGGACATAGGTAGGGAGTTCCTGGACCAAGGGGGAGAAAATGGAGTCTAGATAGTTGGAGATCAGTTCGGTGGGGCAGGACCAGGCGGAGACAATGGGTCGACCAGGGCATTCAGGTTTGTGGATTTTGGGAAGGAGATAGAAGCGGGCAGTGCGAGGTTGGGGAACGATGAGGTTGGAG